ATTTTGCGCTTTTGGTTTTTTTATTTGTGCAAGATGGGGGGGGGGCAGCTCGACAGGGGTTAACTATAGCAACGTTTTGAAATTGTCATTGTTGTGTGACAAAAATATTTTGCAATCTGCTTCTTTGCATATGATAATTATTTTTCCTTATTTTATAGCTGAGTGTGGAGATTATGTCATAGAAGACTATCCAGATCATACATATTTATCAACATATAAATTTGTGCCTCATCAGGATCAAGAGTTAGAGCGACGTATTATGGAGAATCACAAAAAACATGCGTAAGAAAGATATTTATTCTAAGTGAATAACATTCTATTCATATTGCATGTGCGAAATTTTATATATACATGATTTAATATTAACAGGGGCCAATCTCCTGCAGAGGCAGATCTCAATCTTTTAGAGACAGCTCGACGTTGCGAACTGTACGGAATGAAAATGCATCCGGCTAAGGTGAGCAATACTAAAAAATTTACGGTTCTATAGTATATATGTGCATTATGTGTATAAAGTATATTCAAATATCCGTGTTCTTCTTTACACTAGGATCATGAAAACGTTCCGCTGAATCTCGCAGTGGCACATATGGGCATTGTGGTTTTTCAAAATTATACTAAGATAAATACATTTAGTTGGGCCAAAATCAGAAAAATCAGTTTTAAACGGAAACGTTTTTTAATCAAATTGCATCCTGAGGGCTATGTGAGTATTTGAAAAAATAAATCTAATTTTGTTGCATAAATATAAATTACGAAATATTTTATCAATTTAAAATTTTTATTAAAAAGTTTTTTTATATTGAAGTATTGATGTTTTGAATACTATATTTGATTCTGTTGTAATCACATATGTATTTTATCATTTTAATATTTATAGGGTTATTATAAGGATACAGTCGAGTTTTTCTTTGAGACGCGGAATGAGTGTAAAAATTTTTGGAAAAAGTGTGTAGAGAATCATGGTTTCTTCCGTTGCACTGTAGTTAAGAGAGTTGTAAGACAAAAAACTAGAGTGCTTAGTCGAGGATCATCCTTCAGGTATGTCAAGACTGCTCCAAAAATATTATTTGTTTGCATAAGAAATTAATATTTGATTTTAATGTATTAAAATTATAAGCATCTGATTTTTGAAATTTCTATTGCACAAGTTTGTCGAAAAAAATATCATTATTTTATATTTAAGATGATTAGAATAGAAAAAAAGGAGTATTTCTCGCACATTAACATATTACACGTTTACATACTACCAGGTACAGCGGCAAAACTCAAAAACAAATCGTTGAATTTGTTCGGGATAATTATGTGAAGAGGCAGACGTTTCAAAGGTAAGTTTATCCAAAAAAATAACGAGTTTGAATAATTGAAAAAGTTTTTTGGATACCCATGTAATATGTAGGTAGTGCATGCAGACTATTGCGTACTATTCCCCTGATGTTGGTTTTTGTACCATTGAGATTTTTATTAATGAACGCACCAAATCTTGTGGGTAAAATAGGAGGTGGCACGGTCTTGCTTTTGCCGGGATACAAGTCGGTATTTATATATATGTATCGTCCAAACATCCAATTTCCATAGCGGAAACTGTTTACCATGTTCAGTTTTATATTTCCGTTTGTCAGTGTTGCCTGCTCGGACAGGGGTGGCGGGGAGTCAGGCTCACCATCAGGCACGATAAACCCGAATGATGAGTGTACCCTCTCTCAATAGCGTGATCACTAATTATTTATTGTTGTATTTAATATAATACACAGCAAAATACCATACTTCACTGCCCTGACAGTTCTATCCAATAAGATATTTGTCCATAGCAGTAGACTATTTTAAAATAGAAAATAGCCTATTATTAATACACTTAAAAGAGATAAAAAAAAGTTATTCTTGTACATATTGCCGGTACAGATTTTCATTCGCTGTGCGATATCGATGCACGGTTGAGAAACACCCACACATTTCATCGAAACATGTTACTTTTGCAGAAAAAGTAATACAACACACAGTGATATTATCAAAGTTTTTGTTATTTTATTTAAAATAACTAATATTTTTAATATCATTAGTATTGATGTGAGACTTCTGCTAAAAAGATCTGTGTATATATTTTTGTATTTATATTTTATATGGAGTTTTGTTTCAGAAGTAATTTGTTACAGAAATCAAATTTGGCATAAATCTTTTATTATTCATAAATAATATATGATCGGTAAAAGTGTGATTATGCATTAAAATTCAAAGATAACATTAAGTATATTTATTTTCAAAATGCACTCTTGTTTGCATTTATTTATGCTTTTAGACACGCAAGATATTTTTCTTCGTATTTCACATAATTAATGCACGTATGGTCATTTGCGAACGCGCAAATATTTTAATATAAAACTTTTTTCTATTAATGTTTCTAAGATATATATTTCCATTTGACGTCCGTAAGAATGAGACAGTCATCTTTTACGTGTTACAATTCTGTATTTGATTAAAAAATAATGACTGTTTTCACTATTCCCAAAGTTCGATGGTACTACACAATTCTCCTTTGCACTTGTGATATTTTGCATATTCCATAATGATTTATCATAGTGACACACTTACACATTGACACACATTGACACATTTGAGCAGTGAAAATGATATTTTCACCTTGTTATATTTTTATAATTCAAAAACGTACTTATAGAATAGAATGTAATCGTTAAATCTGACAATGTTATATAACAATAAGTACATTGCAGTCAAAAGCCAGCTATCTCTGACGGCGGTATTGACCGTGTATCGTATCAAAAATACTATCTATTTTTATTTATCGCATCGCATTTCAATACGTGAGCTAGCAAGAAGGTCTTCCGCGCAATTCCTCGCATTACAACAATGTCGGTTAGTCGAGAAGCTATTTATTTTTGTTCCTGTTACCGATCGTTAAGGAATCAGAAAAGAAAAGAAAAAAAAAAGGGATAAGTTAGTTGCAAACAGGCTTGGCATTTGATAGCCTAAGTCTGATGCTGAACTTGACTCTCTCTTGCTCGCAGGTCCAATTCGTTCCGGCAGACTAGCGGTGGTAGGGCATTGCAGGGCTCGGAGGGGGGAGGCTATCGTGGGGCCACTCCGAGCAGCTCCCTTATGGGCAGCTCCAGCATCTCTGCCCACCCCCTCCTGCCCCTCGGCGATCCTGGTATGTACCATGACCGACACCAACCTCCACAACAAACGCTTTATTTTTAATTTATCCGCCCTTTGGCTCTCTCTATTTCTGTCCACCTGTTTCTAGCCTCATTTCTTTTTACTGTATCATAACTGAAGTATTGTAATAGTAGAGAGTAGAATAGCGTAATTTAGATTGTGTTTTCAAACAGATTTCTGTGCGTAAGATTATTATGTCTGTAATTATATATATGTAAAAGTTATAACAAAATCTAAATTACGTAGATTTGCGATTACAATTATACTTTGTTAATATTAATTAAAATATTGAAATGTTTTAGATATATATATATATATATATATATATTAAAAAGTATCATCACGTTAGCTTCATATAAAGAGTTAAATAATTAAATCGATTAGCTTTGATATCACAAAAGGTATGGAAGCAACCTTAACAACTTTTCATAAGAATAAAAAGAAATGTGTCTATTATTGTACGATCAATAGGCAGTAATGTCGGTGCAAGAATTATTTCATTGGAATAACATGCCATAATTACGATGCTAATCTATTAACGCTCATTTGCGACATTCGAGAAGTAAAAAGAAGTATCATAATGAATCCATTTCGCTAATCAAGTATTCATTAGAATAATCATTATTGCGATGTAGTCGCACGAGAGAATTGCATACTAAAGTTTCACACGTTATTGAGAGTGTGCATTGAGAGAGAGAGAGAGAGAAAGAGAGAGAGAGCAAGAGATTTACGTGGCACAATTTTTTCAGCACTGGCAACCCCAGCTCTGTCTCTGTCATGCGGCTCGATGACACTGGATTCTCCGACGACTGTGACGAGTGTCTCGATGGGCGGGACGATTCACCGTCGAGAAGACACAGCTACATCGTTTCGGACGCTCACCTCTATCGACGTCCATTCGCCAGCCACCCCCAGCCAGGCCCCAGTACAGCGGCCGATGCTTGCTATAGCACAGCGGACTTCATCAACAGGTCGTATCAGCCCCTCTAACAGCAGTCCCCCTGAATTCCCACCACCACGACCTCTGCCCAGGCACCCCTGGCAACGGTCGGCTAGTTGTCGCGAGCTGTACGCTTCTAGTTTCGAGGACTCCGGTAAAGCGCGGCCGCGGGACGATAAGGTCACCGCGGAGCCCCCGTTAGACCCATTCCAATTAGCCTCCCAAGGTGAACTAGACAACCCCATAACACGTTATGACGAGAGTAATCGTTCGTATAGCGCCGCTAGTTCGAAATTACCTTCCTTAGATCACGATTCTGTCCCCGAGCGTGTCTACAGCAGTTCCTACCCGGGAACGTCGTCGTTGTCTACCGAATCGGGCCATGAGGAATCGGGTCCCGCCGGAGATCTGTCGCATGACGATCTCTCGCACGATTCTTACGAGCTTTTGGAACGCGAGCATGAATTCGAGTACCCGGAATCGTATTCTAGTCCACACGACGAACCAATATCCGATCAGAGCGACGAGGGAATCGAGCACGAGATGTTCCAAATGGACTCCGAGACCGATTCCTTCGTCAAGCACAGATCGCTCAGGTCTTCTGAGAAGCAACAATATAAATCCGCACTCACCGATCTTAAGCATTCTAGAGCCAAGTCCATCGATCGGTACTCAGCTGTATCCAAAATGGACGGTGATTTCGTCATCACCGAGTCCAGGATACATCGGTCGGGCACGCAGATAGAGCGCAAGTTTGAAACGAGACACGCCAATTCCGTGGAGCAGCCGTCCAAGACGACTGTTCCGCATCAGGATTCCGCGCGAAAGGATCCCGTTATCTTACAGATGCAGAAGCAAAAGGTTTCCGTTTTAAACGAACTGAAGAACTTAAAGCCAAAGTACAAGATCACCCATGTAGACTCGGAGGTCTTGCGAGACGAGGGTATTATGCGTCCCAAGTCGCGAATAGATGACGATCTAAGCCCGGTGGAGGGAAATAATAAGACCGTGTTCGATCAAAGCGCGAGGGGTAGGACGACCAGAGCGCGCAGTATCGCCAGCTTGGACGATCATTCGCCGCGATTGTACGTCGAGACAGGTAGCTTAGGTCGCGGGCACAAGTCTAGAGATAGAAAGTCGCGGGACGCCGACGTCAAGATCGAGAAAGTTTTGTCGAAAGAGCGCAGGAGTGTCGAGAGGGAAGAACGAAAGCGAATCGAGAAGGATTATTCGAGAGATTGTAGACGAGTAGACAAGAGCGATTCGCGGGAACGTCGTTCGGTGGATCGGCTCGATTCGCGCGAGCGGAGTCACGGTCGGCGCGGTATAGATTTGCGCGAATTACGTAGGAGCATCGAGCGGCTCGATGTGCGCGAGAGGAGTTACGAGCACTTGGACTCGAGAGAAAAGAGTGCCTTTTATTACAATGATTTATATGAATCGCGCGGCAAGAGCGTCGATCGTTTAGATTCCCAAGGGTTGCGCAGCAGCATGGAATATCTAAAGAGTCCTAGAAGTCCGAGAAGTCCGAGAAGTCCGCGAAGTCCGAGAAGTCCGAAAAGTCCGAAAAGTCCAAAAAGTCCGAAAAGTCCGAAAAGTCCGAAGGAAAGGAGCTATCGGCATTCGGATGCGCGCAGGGAGAAGAATATCGATCGAAACGATTTCCGAGAATCGAGAAAGAGCAGAGCGGCTTCTATCGACTACGGTCAAAGGCATACGTTGGAGCGCTTCGATTCAGGCAATAGAAGTCCGTTCGAACGGTTGACTCCGAAGGAACAACGGCGAATGAGCATCGAAAGACTGGACTCTCAAAAGTTCGATTTCGACCCGCGAGCGATCGAACGCTTAAAATCTTTGGAATATTACGAACAGAGAGACCGAGCGTGCGAAAGAAAGATCGAATCGAGAAGCGCCGAACGAAAGAGCCTAGAGAAATTGGATTCGCGAGAACGAAGATACTTGGGACGCTTGGAGTCGCGAGAGGGCAGAAGCCTCGAGTGTCTAGATTTTGACAGCGCGGAACGTAGAAAGAACATCGAGTACAGAGAGCCCAAGAGGAGCAGAAGCAAACCCGAGAAAGGCAAGTCGGACGAAAAGCCGCGGGAACGCGACGACTGGAGGAGCTTGGAGAAAGCGCGAAAGGACAACGAGAGACGAGAACGCGAACGACAGGCGAAACTGTCCATCGAGTCGCGCACGGAGACTGTTATCGGCGTGCCGCACGAGATGGAGAATTTAAAGCCTAAAGCCGTGTTCGCCGAATACGAGCCGAAGGTTGTCGGCGGCGTCGTGCTAGGTTTCGAAGAGACCGCGTTGCCCGGACACATACCAGTGGAACGTACGAAGAGCGATCCGAATCCGGCGCGGCAAAGATTGGGATCCAACAGCAAGCGACACATGTTAATGCACCAGAAATCCATAGATTTGACGCCAGCCGATTCCGGCGACGAGGAACCGTTCTCGGATAGCGCAGCAATACAGAAAACTAACATCGACATCCCGTACACGTTGCACAAGAGGCACGTGATGAACGGCACGGCGTCCGACGAAAAATCCGAATCGGATAGTAGCAAAACTTCGAAGAACGTTAAGAGTATCGCCAAGGATTTACCGAAGCTACCGCTGAAAGTGGTGACGGACGTCTCGTATTTCGATCTAACCAAGGGGCTCTCTTCCGCAGATAAGGCTGGCAATAAATTATCTCCGGATAAATCTAAGGGCGGCGCGATCACTAGCACGAAACCGAAATCTATATTGAGCCCCTCGGACAAGCCGAAGAGTATTTTAAGTCCGACATCGAAACTATCGCCTACAGATCTAAAGAGCATTGTCTGCAGCTTGTCGCCTACCAAGAGAAGCCCCTCGAAGACGAACGCAAAGACTCAATCGCCCGATAAGCTTTCGCCAAAGGGCGGTTCGTTGGACAGAAACAGAACCGAGGTTATCATCGAGGATTACACGTGTAAGAAATCTTCGAGTCTGGACAAGAAACCATCAAAACTGTCGCCGGTCGAGGCGAATGTTACCATCATCTCGGCGCTCGAGAAACGTTCGCCTAAAAAATCACCGACAGATCCTAATGTAACTATCGTCTCCGTGATACAAAAGAGGAGATCTCCGGACGGAGCGCCCAGAAGTCCAACCAAACCGAAAGGCGGTCTAAGTTTGGCCGACGTTGTAGGCATGGAAATGAAGCAAAATCTGGAACGCAGGGCGAAAATGGAGAAGGATAGCTTAAAAATGCCGGACGACAGTTTAGAGAAACAAGACAGCATCGAGAAAATGCCGCTACCCGAACTTCCTGGCGGCGGAAGGATGGACGATATGGAGAAAGCGAGGCTCTCCGCAATTCAGCAAGCGATTCACTCACCGAAACGAAGCGCCGATGAGCTATCTATATCCGATGACGATCGAAGGAGAGATAATGTGCAATCTGTAGTGGCCGAAGTTCACGCACCGGCTGTGACAGAAGTCAGAACAAAACCACCGATTCCGGAGAAACCGAAGACACTGGAAAAACCGAGTATTCCCGAGAAGACGAAACGCATATTAGAGAGAATAGAATCGAAATTCTCGGAAGTAAGTAAAAATTCCGCCACAAAAATATCGAGACCTAAAATTATCGATACAGGATTTGACGATTTCGTAGATCCGGTCGCCGATTTGCCTTTGGACGAAGTGCCTGTGAAACCTGCTTTAGAGTTGGATAGCCTTAAAGTTCCTGAATTCGTTCCCTTCATGCTGAGACCGCACGCGGAACCATTGCGATCAAAGTCTCTGTCGCTGGCGGAAGAGAAGGCGCCGATCGACACTTTACTTTCGCCGGAGGTCGAGAACAAACACTTTGTGCAGGATGTTTCGCCAAAGAGAGTGAAGAAAGTCAAGTCCGAGCCGAAGAAAGATTTCAAGAAACAATCAAAATCGTTGGAGGGCGACAAACCACCGTTGAAAAAGAGCGCGTCGAAGGAGTCGCGTGCGCCAGTGGTGAGTACGAAAATCGACAAGTCTAAGTTAAAGCTCGGCGAAATGCCGCAAGAAATTATAATAATCGATTCGACTGACGTTTCTCCGGAGATAAGCATTGTCCAGAAAGGCAGATCAAAATCCGTAACCAGATTACCCGACAAAGCATTCTCGACGTCAAAGGAGGAGAAAGAAGAGACGAAGAGCACTCGCGCGAAATCTGCATCTGTTGACGACGAATTAATTAAAGGCACGGTGAAGACTGAGAAATCCAGACCGAAATCGTTGGGAATATCGAAGAGCTTAGGAAGTACGGAGAAAAAAGATTCGGTGGAGAAGATATCTCCGAAGAGAACTGCCGCCTCTAAAGCTGCGAAAGCGGATTCGAAAGTCGAAAGTAAATCCGCAAAGGACGCGGTGTCGAAATCGCAGGATTCGAAATCGGCACGCGGTAAAGCGGGATCGAAAACGGAAGCGAGTAGCGAGGAGACCGTCGAGTCGAAACAGCTCAGGCAGGAGAAAGAATCTAAACCGTGTGTCAAACCGGATGTAGTGATTAATCAGCCGACAGCCAAGCAAATTGCAGCAGCGGAAGAAAGCAAGGAATCAAGCAAAGAAGAGCGTAAAGAGAAAGAGAGCGCAAAGAAAACCGCGATCACTCAAGATTTAACACAATCACCTTTGGTATTGCGCAAGCCAGGACAAACGCCGATATTATTCGCGCGACTCGGTCTCTCCGAAGGTAGCGGAATCGGCGCGCTTCAACGTCAGGGCGCGACGCAGTCGCCGACTGCGCAACGACGCGCGAAATCTCTGGACGCCGCGGTGATCTCCGTACACAGACTGCCGCCGGCGAACGCGTTTTCCAGCAAGGACGACACAGTGGACGTGTCGGAGGCAATGGAAGATAACGCCGCCGACGAAGCCGCTGCGCAAGGTGCGAGCGCGATATCGAAGGCGCAATCGTCACAACCGGAAGCCTCGCCGAATCACAGATCCGATAGTACCGATCACACGACCATACCGGAGATATTCACCGATTCTCTGTCCGTCACGGAAACTTCGGCGCAATATTTAGAATCGCCGTTGACGGAGTGCAATGAAATCGTGACCTCCGTCGATTTAGTACCCGACGAGCAGCAAGGTAGACACATACCTTTTATAGCTTATATTAACGGAAATGAAGCAGTGGAGGCCACTAAAGTAGAAGAAGCAACGAAATTCATCGATCAGAGTTCTGCGGAGTCCGGCGCTGAGCAGGAAGCATCTGAGGAGAGTTCCGAGATGAAAGGCGTGCCGAAAGATGCTCAACTGGATCAAACAGCGGTCTCGTCGATCTTCGTGAAGACTGTTGTTAGTACGGATATTGTCGTTTGCAGCATCGAAAGTCACGACGGGGAAGTGAGCACGAAAATTGACGAGACATCAACGGAGAAACCATCGGAAGAGCTTCGTACAAAGGTCGAAGGTTCAAGAAGCCCGTCCGAGAGAGACGATGTCCCCGATGTAACTATAAGCGCAGCTCGGGAAGACGAACGATCTTTCTACAGTTTTTACGATCAAGACGATCCTCCAGATATGGTGAAATCGCCGATACAGATATCCATCGAGGAATGCTCCGACGATGAGGTGAATCTAGAGGACGAGGAGGAGGAACACGTGGAGATACGAGAGTTAGAGATCGACGAGCGGGAAGAAGAGGAAAACAAACGGCTGGATTCTCTCGACACGAGCGAGGATACGCTCGACGCGCTCGACACACAAGTGCAGATGCGAGGCGTGGACAGTGAAATGAGCTCGCCGGATTACGGCGTCGATAGGATGGATGAGAAAACGTTAGTCGAGGTCGAATTAACGCCGGAATATCTGGAAATGAAGCGGGAAGACGAGGAGACCGCGGAAGATTTGCCGGAAGACGGACCGGTTAAGGAGACGGAAACCATAGAAATCGCGGACTCTAATCGCTTGTCGATCGACAGGAAGCTCCGGCTGAGCACCGAGCGCTCGAGAAGCGAAGAGACGAACACTTACACACCGGACAGGGAAGACCCGGACTCCAGTTCGTGCTCCATCGCCCGGCCGTTGGGAATCGGTCAGATAGAGCCTATTATAGATCGTCGAGAAATCGCTGCGATCGAAGGCGCTCGTAGCAGCGGTTCTATGGATGACGATACCAGCAATGATTCGCAGCCGCCGCCGAAACAGGAAATGAGTGCTACGTGGAAGTCGTTCCCGCAGGAAAGTTTCCGCAGCTCTAGTCTCGAAGAAGGCTGGATGGCTCAGGATGAGAACAACGCGCAGCAATCGCAATCCGAGGACAGCAACGGTCAGAACGAAGACAGTTTTCAAGAGGATCTGGCTGATTTTCCGGGCACTTTTATCTATCCGATCGGACCCGAGATATTGGCCAATTACGGCGCATTCTCGCTTTCTCGCACGTTGTCGAGGATATCCGAGCGATCCACCACGTCGGAGCAAGACAAAAGCGACTTGGAAGACTCTTTCAAACCCAGCTCGAGATCGCCGAGCCTCGACGACGAGTCGTTAATATCGAGCGACCACCAGCCGTCTTTGTCGTCGGATCCTCCGTCCGGTACGGCATTGCCGTCCGTTTCCGATGATCGTAGAACATCCTCCGAATTGCCAGATATTCCTATCGACGTTGTCGGCATGCAGGACGACGACGCGAAATCGCCGCGAACCACCAGAAGGTCACGTTTGCAGCTACAGAGTTCCGAGGACTGGCCGTCGCCGCCCAGTTCGCCGGTCTTCGAAACGCCGGTGGTGAGTCACGTAGAGACGTTTTATATGGAGATCAAGCCGGAGGAAGCCGTCAAAGTCACTGTGACAGATAGCACGGAGACGCCGGTTGCGGAGCACGACAGCGATTCCAGCGATGAGAATCGGACGCTGCACGACGATCTGCATTCGACTCTTTTGGAGGACGGACAGAGCTCGACGTCCGCGACGGCCGACGGTACGGTGAAAATCGCGGTGAAGCCGAAATCGAATTCATACATAACCGGCTCGTCGCACAGCGAAGACACGTCGATGGGTCTGTCCATGTCCGAATGGTCCAGCTCGAATAACACGGTGCGTCAATTCTGTCAGTACTCCGGCACGAAATCCGACGATAACTCGCTCGCGGAACTCGGCGCGTCGATTTCGGATTGGTCGGGCAGCACGACGGTGATACCGCAGCAATATTACGCCGCGGCGGACAAAAGTCAGAGCGACACCACGACATCCGAGAGAAGTGCGACGAGCATGAGACCGAATTCCAAGTGTCAGACCGCCGACACCTCCTCTCTTCCCTCGCCGCCATCCCCGTCCTCGATGCCGCTACCTGTCTCGCCACCACTGCCTTCGCCGCCCGCGACGGATACCTGTTCGTTTCAGCTCGAGGACGAAATTGTCAGTGTCACGATCGAGCACGACGTTTTGCAAGCCGAGACAATCGAGGACGATTTCCATCAAGTTCGTACGCGCAGCGACGAGCTCGACGAAGCGCGGCGATTCATCGAGAGCCAGTTCGACGAGCATCATCGACTGCGTCGCTTCGATGACGAACAACAGGGCACTTATTCGGAATTCACCGATATCTCACCGCCTCGCATCACTCTGCGAAATGAATACGACGAAGCCATCGACGATGATTTTCAAATGGGCACGGAAGAAGAGACGCTCTGCATAAGCGATACGGCGTTACCGATTCCCGAGGAGGATGAAGATCAATTGTACGACAATGTGCCCGCCATGAAGTATTCCAGCAGCGACAAAGTGCGGATGGAGGTCGGTCGCGGCGATAGCTCGGAAGACATGCACGAGAAATACGCCGATCTCACGCTACAATCGAGAGTAGCGGACGACGATTGGTCCTCCGAGGAGCGGAAAGACGTTTCGGATGGGAAAAGACCGACGAAAACGGGTAAAATCGATCGCGGTTTCTCGGAGCCGAGTCCGCACGAGACCGGCAGACGATCCACCGAACGACCTGTCGTAGTACCGATTCGAGCGAAGTCAACTCCGTACTACTCCACGACGAGTCTGAGCGGCGAGTCGACCACGTCCAGTCCGCCTATGCAGATCCGAACGCAGATCAGAACGAAGACGATGCCTTACTCGTCGAGTCGCAGCCCGCAAAGCGAGGGCGACACCTCCTCGAGCATGGACAGTCCAGCGCACACGCCCGATCGCGGTCAGAGAGCCTTCCGCCGGAAACGGCAGCAGAACGTTAAGAGACGACACCGCGTGGTGGTCGATCTCGAGGTGAAAGACGGCCATATAGTCTCCAGCACCGATTCCAGCTTCGACGTGGCGACCATACCGCCGCCTCTGCTGACGGAAGGTCAGAGCCTGGACGACGACGAGGACGACGAGATGTCCGAGACGAAGGACGAGACGGCACGTCGTCGTCAGCAGCAGCAGCAGCGTTGACACAACGACGGACGCTAAGTAGAAACGCCTGAGGCAGCGTGATCGGCACCACGCTCGGATTCGAGCTAGTAAGACTCGTAGGAAAGCTTCCAGCTGCGTGGAATTGAGCACACACTAGAATTGATAGATTTATCGGCGCTGTGCGTCGGCGTTCTCGAACTTGTATTCGCCGGACCGACGACTTGGCCTTTACAAGCGTTCTTGATTCAACGACAGCGATTGCTCAGCAGTGTCGCATCAGGAGGCAATCGAGACTTATACGGGTATGATCGACAAAAAAAAAAGGGGGGACACCAACGACGGCAGAAAGAAAGGCAAAACCGATACGTAAAAACGACGGAGACATGTCCGTCGGGTTTTCCGGGCTATGAGAAGTCCGAGCGAATGATCAAAATCCGCGTGAAAGAATTTAGCGTAATATCGTTAGGAATACGGATACGTTTGTTACACGTTTTAGAGACCCGGTTTACTTTGATATTATCATCACGATAGCATCCTTCGATCCTTCCCTCTCCCTCTCCTCGTAGACGAGTACTTAGCGAGTAATAATCATGCATAACTCGGAAAACGATAATCTTAATCAACACGAATCATCGGCGTGCACGCGCGCGACTCGTTAGAAAAAAAAAAAAGAATACAGCCGCGTTACGCGCGACACGTTATATCCTAGTAATAATAATGTATAACATTATAAGAATAGAAAGATCGAAAGAGCGACGTAGGACTTTCGGGGTAATCGTAATTTTAAGACGAACGTATAAACCGCGTAATCGCGCGAATCGCTAACCATCTAATTGGTGCAATCTTCATTTTTCGCACGAGATGCTCCCGATATCGCTAGGAGAAATCGTGCGGATACTTGAACGAGAAACGTAAGATTCTTTCTCTTTTTTTTTTTTAGAAGAAAGAAAGATCAACGTAGCTTTGTTATTATTATACACTTAGAATTCTCCTACGGCACGTATTCGTGTAATCGTTACTTCAACTACAACGTTAAAGGGTTAAATATAAATCTCGGCGTTCCAAAAAGTGACATTATTCGGTCGATGCGACTAGAATTCACCAGGACAATCAATCATGGGAACTGCGTTGCCGAGGGATCTCTCGCGGAAGTAGGAAACGAACGGTGGAATAAATAAAAATAAAAAAAAAAAAAAGAACAGTCGACAGCAATTGTTTCCAGTTCGAAACCTGAATTCCGAACAATCTATATAATTTCACCGTAGTTTGATTCGCGTGCGCGTTAGAAGGTGGGGATAAAAGTTGCTCAACGTAGATACTTAAACGTGGTACATGCTTCTTCGTTAAAAGTCGCCCTTACGCGCGAAACGAGCACCCGATATTATAGGCATTAATTTTGGATCGATCAAGTAGCCATTAAGATCTCCGTTCTAGATGGGAATCCGAGCGCCTCGTCTACATTAATCCGCGAATTTATTCATGTAGTAACAGATAATCCGAAACACGCAGATAAAGCTGAGAGATCTAGGCGCGCCCTAACAATTAAATCGTAAGTTATTATCGGAACGAAAGTTATTATTTATTATTCACCTGCTTGAACGGAAGAGCATAGATCGGAACGCGTTTTTAACAGAGTTTCCGGAAACTTAGTATTTTTTTTTTTTTCAGTCAGCGAATTTGCTAATTTGAGGCTAACAGGACTGTACATGCGTACGTTTACTGCTCACGATTATTAATTTATTTTAGGTGAAAGATTTAGAGAAATCGGCTTTATAGTGAGTGAGTTACAATAGAAACGCCCGAGAAATATTTCCTGACGATGAATGTGCAAGTTAGCTCTCAAGAAGGAGTCCGATTTGAGCGAGGCAATAGAAAGTCCCATTGGTTTCAGCTTGTATTGTGCCTAGTTTTTATACCGTGTTCGTCGCATGCACAATTTAATGATATAGTGAGGCGTGAATCTCAATTGTGATGCGTGCGTCGTGCACCCATCGCATATTATGCGCGCAGATGCGTGTGGCGTGTGTCTTTCGGCGTCCTTAGATAGGTAAAATGTACGTAAGCATATTAGGTACTGATTAACAAGATAGAAAGTGAGAAACACTTGTACTGATTGTTAGCGCATTGTGTGTTCCAGAGGTAACGATTGCAGTTACAAATCGATTTACAAAACGTGTATTCTCAGAGACGCAGCCCTTTCCACGATGATTGTGTATCTCAAATTTGCAAATGGCCACATTTTACAGTTTTTATTTTATATAAGACTGTTGATATTTGTTCGTTATTTAGTATTTTTAGATTTTTAGGTCTTTTTATATTTTTACATGGTTTTAATTGTATATTCTTTTTTTTACATAAGTATATATTTAGAAGTAAAAATATTAGAAGCAATATTTACAATTATCGCGTCTTCAAGATAAAGTGCATAGAAATAGTTTTAAACTCAGCAGTTTTAAAAACACCAGGGTTAATTTAATTTTTCTTACTGGAACTACATTCTCGAACATCTCTCTTATAACAGTTTATTTAAGAAGCGGTAAAGATAGTTCTTCTTTTTCGAAATTTTTTCCCGATTTTTCTTTCAAGTATAACTACCAATGTTTTTTTATCGTAGTCTATTTGTCGAAAATCATTATTAAAATATGTCCTCTTTAGATATATTTATAGCAAATATTATTAATTGCAGCAATAATTCGTCAATATCATTCAGAACGTACAGCATTCTTGATAAGGAAACGAGATCGTTATATACTATAAATATAATGAAAGACTTTGCATTGTATCCTCGCTATTATGCACGATTACGTTGAATGTTATCTGATTATCATGTATTACAATGAAAGAGATATATAGCGCAAAGTATACGAAGTGCGAGCGACAAAGGGACGACCGCTGAGTGCCGATAAACGATGGCATGTCATTAACTTCGACGAGTTTAGCGATCGCAATAACTTTCTCGACATGGTCTGAATTCTGCAATATAGGCTTGAAATTCAGATCAGATCGAGTTACGTTATAGTCGGTCACGTTTGTGTGTCAGGGTCACGCTGTATCGGAAGTTGGATTTTCTAGTGCACTTTGCATATATGTATACTCTGTGGCCCGAGTTAGGAATGATAGTCATCCTAGGATTGCACGAAGAGAAGCCACCGGAATGGCTATTACTGAATCACTTGGATAGGTTGCGGTCTCGGCAATTCTAGGAAGACTGCTAATTCCAACTTGACGCATGGCATAAAATCAGCTGGTGCATAGGAAACACAGACTCGGAAGATAGTAATGGAATTTTTTAGAAATATACCTCTATTGAGCTTCCAGCGATTCATATGCGAATTGTTGATCCAAAGTTCGAATTTTTTCCTTCATTTCTGATTTGCAGCGACACGATATATTCTTTTTGCTCGATTCAGATTTATTCCTCCAAACGTTCTTCGATTCTTTTTACGCAAATAATAATCGGACAGCTCTATGTAAACGCATTATAAATTAAAATAAGGAAACGTAAGTAGGAGTCTCCACGCGAATATTAAGAAGTTATTTTAAAAATTATCATTGGAATCGATAACTGATTTAGCTCGCGTGAGAACTTATCGTGTCAAAATGTATATCTATAGAATTCTAAGCATTTTGACAAATTTAATGGAGTTGCTAGAAACGATTTTTGGAAACATCATCAAGTCAGAATGCAGGATCGCGCGGGATAAATGACAAGTCGCTAACAAATGATTCATCTCTCTCCGAATAGAGGTCACATTTGCCATAGTTACGTTAATGTCTAGAGGCACGGCCTTGGCGATTAGTCGAATAAAATCCTTTGATGCGTTGGTATCATTGTGTCTCCGTTTGTGTATGAGTATCTGTGCAGCAGCGAACTCGATCAAGGATCGCATAAAAGTTATCAAATTCAGAAATGTAAGCGCACGAATCAATTTGCATCTTACTTATCTATACACTGCACGGCATAATATGAGCGTTCCGTCGTCATTCCGTCAAATCAATTTCGGCATTTAATTCCATTTCGAGGCATCACGTCGCTCGCAATCTTCCCTCGCATCTAACGCGGTCCGTTCATTCGAATTCGCTGTAATTCACGATATTGGTGCGTCCTTTCATCTCTTGGTTTTTGCATTTGTGCATCATCCGACTCGCTCTTATCATTGTAATATCGCACATACACCACCATACGCACGCGTCTCTCGTTTCTCATGCACTTGTTGTATCTCTCCCCCCCCCCCCTCTCATCTGTGTTTGTCCATCGCAAGTTACTGACCTGTTACTTGAGTCCTGTTTTCCGTAACATCGTTATAATATCGTCCCTCATACGCAGATCATGAGAATTGCGCGTAATGCGTGCAGCATCGATCGCTCGCGTGATTGACGTGCTCGAAGTTCTCCCGTGTCGTTCGAATTCAGAGCGGCGCGGAAGGTATTCATTGTTTCTCATCTTCGCTCATCACAAATTCCCATATGCATTTCAAATAACATATGTTAATTACAAACAGGAATGAATAAAATATGCATAGAGAGATTAAAGAAATCGATGCGAGCAACCGTCTTGTTCAGCGTGCAATTTAAAAATTCTAAATGCTTTTTTTTTTTAACATCAAGACCATAGATAAAATATGACTGGCTAGGTTTGGGACACCCTGTAGATTTAGACGTGAGATGCCGCTTAACAAAAGGTTAAATGGAATTATCGAGGGTACACATTTTATTACAGAAGCCGAAGTTCAATTTGAGGTGGGAATGTTAGACGTCTTGAGCGAGCACGTTGTTGATTCGCAAAATTAAATTATCTGATCTAGAAATAATACTGCTCCAGGAGAGAAAGAGATATCGACAACGTATTGATCCATTTAAGGAGAGAACTGGTGCGCAAATTTTTACACAGAGTGCCCTAGACCCATGCATATTTCATCAATTTAAAATTGACTTTTCTTTATTAAAAGTATCATCGATAGACCTATGCATAATTTTTCGCCTATAGATTCTTTCATCAAGTTCATACACTCTTTTAATCAATTTGAAATTAACTTTTTGTTTATCGAGACTCTTTCTCAATAGATTCTGGATTGAAAGTGATTAAAAATAGAACACGTATTTGCTCTTTTTACTCTGGAGGTAAAAAGAGTGTCTTATATGTTGTACCATGCAATTTATACACTTTTAAATTTAATCTTTCTTCGTGGAATCTTGGATAATCTTAGGATACAAAGAACGAACAATTGGCGTGAGCCGCTTTTATAAGAACGAATTTATTTCTTAAATAGATCATCCGTGCCTTTTTTTCCCCTCATCTTCCGTGGCAAAATACGTAAAAGTATTTACGGAGAAACGTAATATATCTTTCACACCGGAAGAAAAGGGAAGCGTCGAATTAGTCGATTCTCTCTTCGAAGTTTTTGGAGTGTATAGGTCCCCTAAATCACATGACGAACAGAGTGACAGGCGTTCGCACAACAGAATGTCGCATAACATATACCCGGTGTATTGTACGTTATGCTTTTCGACAGGTGGTGATTACAACCGCTGGACCTTCCAGAACGGATACGTGAACTCGCCGGCCTGGCACATGCATTACCGCGTGAACCAGGTGCGTAACGTAATGGTTCACGCAACACCACGTACCCTGACCAATCGATTCTTACCGCTGACACCGCTGCGCCCACGTTGAGCGGGAAGCCATATATCGCACACTAATCAGGCTAAGAAAGTACCACGCTACACGTCAGTGAGGCTCACGCGAATAGACGTGCGGCCGCGCACGAAAGGATTGTAAACGTGAAATCGCTGGAAAAAAAAAAATGAAAAGACCGCAAAAACGAAATCCCGAGCGTACCAGCTTCTATTCTTGGTTCTTTGCATCTTCGATCTTCGCAGAATATTATGTTTGCGATCGTTTGATTTTCACGTAGCGCTTTTTACGGGGTACATAATGCTTTTGGGGGCGGGGGAGGTAGGAAGTCACGAGCATTGTACCTATTGTTACAACGAGATCTGTAAATACGTTGTTAGAAAAATCTAATCTCAATTATTTTGTAAGTCTCGTACTTAATATTTGCAATTTCTAATATCGAGAACACATTCGGCAAGTATGGAGCTCACTCAAATGTTGAAAATTGTGGGCATCTTAATCGCTGAAATAGTGCGATAGTAAAATACAGGAAAACCATAATAGAATCCCCGAGAATTATTTTGACATCAGCGCTTACAGCGACACGGGATGTTTCCACTATTTATATATAACATTAATATTATATAAAGAATAAAAATATAGTTAAATATATATAAACAGTGTCCACTTCCCGTGTCTGTAGAAGCGCGTTGAAATTTCGTTTATGTATTAAACTGTTTCGAGGATTGACATTTCGCTTGTGCGAATGAAGCGAGTTGTCTTCTCTTGCGGTTCAGTTTTCGCTGGTTGGACATATTTTTCGTTATCCGGTTTCTTTCTCCGTTAGCATGTTCTTCCGCTTCATTAATTCCATTTTTGTAGCGAGATTTCTTCTTCCTTACATTAGATCTTAGACGCACTTAATTCCCGTTTCAATCACACCATAATATTCGAAAGATACTTGTTGCCCATAATTTACGGGGGGAAAAAAAAAAGAAAAATGAGAAGAGTCCAACTGTATAAAATTTGAATATTCAATCGGACTCTCGTGTGTGCACAAAATATCCATAATGTTCACAATCTCAATATACTCGCACTGCACTGTTAGATTGTTGCAAGATTAGATTCTCTAGAAACGTTAACGCGTTGTTAAAGTAATTTCGTGGTTTTCAACAATTCTTATGAATTAAATATGCATATGGCTACCGACTTACACGTATTTCCGACTGTATATACACGCGATGTCGCAATAATAACCGAAATAACCGAACTTGTTTCAAAGAATTTCCATCATTACTTGTAGTCTCGAGCTATTAATCCTCGAAAACCCTCTTCATCACGTTTTTGCGTTAGCCATACTAGTCTGTGCTATATATATACATAGTCTACTGTTCAATCCTACCTCCCTGCCTGGAGCGTGCGTAGAGATGTGAATTTCACTCATGAACATACGAAGTTACATTAATCGAACGATCGCGAAATAGCACACCGATGGTACGCTACGTAATTCACTACGAAATTTAGCTTCATGAAGATCGAAAGAGAAATATTTTCCGAGCTAGTGTGTGTTGGAAAACCTTCAAGAGGTGAGAGGACACGATTCTATCAAGATATGAAAAATATTTAACGATTAACGGTGGAATATTCACGAATTAGCTGTGACGTCTGCGTACGACAAATCGAACAGTTCTGA